AGAGCAGTGGCTCACACCTATAATCCCACAATTTTGGGAAGCTGAGGCAGGTGGATCACTTGAGGTCAGGAGTTGAGACCAGCCTGGTCAACATGGCAAAACTCCATCTCCATTAAAAATACAAAAAGCTAGGCATGCTGGCATGCACCTGTAATCCCAGCTCCTCAGGAGGTTGAGGCAGGAGAATCGCTTTAACCCAGGAGGTGGAGGTTGCAGTGAGCTGAGATTATGTCACTGTACTCCTGCCTGGGTGACAGACCGAGACTCCATCTCAAAAATAAAAATAAAAATAAAAAAAATCACATGGAATCTCAAGGGATCCTGAATAGTAAGAACTATCTTGAAAAAGGACTAAGTTGAAGAACTCACATTTCCTGACTTCGAAACTTACTACAAAGCTAGTGTAATCAAAACAGTTTGATGACAGCATGAAGACAAACATTAGAGCAATGGCATATAATAAAGAATCCAGAAATAAATGCTTGCATATACAGTCAAATGGTTTTCAAGAAGAGTGCCAAGGCCATTCAGTCTTTTCAACAAATGATGCTGAGAAAACTGGGTATCCATATGCAAAAGAATGAAGTTAGACCTTTACCTCATATCACATATAAAAATTAACTCAAAATGGATCAAAGACCTAAATACAAGCACATTTGGGAGAAGAATTTCATGACATTGGATTTGGTGAAGACTTCTTGGATATGATATCAAAGGCATGAGCAACAAAAGGAAAAAATAGATAATCTGGTCTTAAGAACTATAAGCAGAGTAAAAAGGGAACCCACAAAATGGGAAAAACACTTGCAAATTATCTATCTAATAAGAACTCATATCTAGAATATATAAAGAACTATGCTCAATAACAAGAACAAAAAATCCAATTAAAAAATGGACAGAGTACTTAAATTAGACATTTCTCAAAAAAGACATACAAATGACCAATAAGCATATAATAAAAGGTTCAACATTGTTAGTCATCAGGAAAATGCAAATCAGGACCATAATAAGGTATCACCTCACATGCATTAGGCTATGTTGTTTTAAATCAACAGAAAATAGTAAGTGTTGATAAGGATGTGAAAAATTAGAAATGTGCAATGCCAGTAGAAAACAGTGTAAGTGCTACAGAAAAAGGTATGGCAACTCCAGAAAAAACAATCACAAAATCACCATGTGATCCTGCAACTGTATTCCTGGGTATATACCCCAAAGAAGTAAAAAAGACTCAGATACTTGTACACCTATGTTCACAGCAGCATTACTGATAAAAGCCAAAAGGGGGAAGCAACCCAAGTGTCCACTGATGGATGAATGGATAAACAAAATGTGGTAAATATGTACAATGGATTATTATTCAGCCTTAAAAAGGAAAGAAATGTTGATATATGCATTATCCTTGCTGCAACATGGATAGACCTCAAAGACATTAAGCTAAATAAGCCAGTCACAAAAGGACAAGTATTTTATTATTCCAGTAATATGAAGTTCCTAGAGTAGTCCAATTCATAGATCACAGAGACAGAAAGTACAATGGTGGTTGCTAGGAACTGGGGAAAGAAGGGAATAGAGATTTAGTGTTTAATGGCTAGAGTGTTTCAGTTTTGGATAAAATTTTTACAGATGGATGGTGGTGAAGGTTACACAAAAACACAAATGGACTTAATAACACAGAACCATATACTTAAAAATGGTTAAAATGGTATCTTTTGTTAGGCATATTTTACCCTAATTAAAAAAAAAGTGTTAAGGAACCTTAAATGGCAGAGTAGAAACCTGCAGAATGGTGTGTCTCAGTAGGTAATCAGTAGATCTGGCTCTTCACTGATAGGCCTTCAAATATCAGTACACACAGGTCTTTTCTCTTGGGCTGGTTAGAGCCTATTCATAGTACATAAAACGGTGATGGCCAGGTACGGTGGCTCACACCTGTGATCCCAGCACTTTGGGAGGCCAAGGCAGGTGGATGACTCGAGGTCAGAAGTTTGAGACCAGCCTGGCCAACATGGTGAAACCTGCCTCCACTAAAAATACAAAAATTAGCTGGGTGTGGTGGTGCACGCCTGCAATTGTGGCTATTCAGGAGGCTGAGGTAGGAAAATTGCTTTAACCCGGGAGGTGGAGGTTGCAGTGAGCCAAGATTGAGCCACTGCATTTCAGCCTGGGAGACAGCGAGAATCCATTGTGGTGGTGGGGGGAGAGAAAATTGCTATTCCCCAAAGCCTAAAACAGTACAAGATGAATCAACTACTTATAGAATTCTTAATATTTGTATCAAGAACTATGCTATTTCATAATTATAAACTCAATCCTTAAATGACCAAAGGTGTGATATTATTCCTATTTTACTAATCAGATGGGGTATAAGAAGACTGGGTATCTTGAGTACAGAAACTAAGCCACAGTTGGGATTCAAACATGCAGTCTGTATGATTCCATGGCTCATCTTAATCATTATATTACACTGCTGCCTTCAGTGTGTGTATGTACACGTGTCTATGCATACATTTGCATACTGTATACTACACACACACACACACACACACACACACACACACACACAAATACACACACATTGTATAGCACAAGTCCCCAAGAATAAGAATCTGTTTTACCACATGCTAATAAGATAACCTGTGAGTTATGGTCTGATGTATGCTGTCCTAGTCAGATTTAATTTCATAAGTAGTTCAATTTTGTGTGTCTAATTCTAAAAGGACCAACCCAAAAGACCATATCTAATAAAAGGTCTGTAAGTCATGTCACAAAGAATGACTGAAGGAATTAGAAATATTTAGCCCAAATAAGAAAAGCTGGGCCAGGTGTGGTGGCTCATGCCTGTAATTCCAGCACTTTGGGAGGCTGAGGCAGGTGGATCATCTGAGGTTGGGAGTTGGAGACCAGCCTGACCAACATAGAGAAACCCTGACTCTACTAAAAATACAAAAAAATTAGCCAGGCGTAGTGGCGCATGCCTGTAATGCCAGCTACTTGGGAGGCTGAAGCAGGAGAACTGCTAGAACTCGGGAGTCGGAGGTTGTGGTGAGCTGAGATTGCACCATTGCACTCCAGCCTGGGCAACAAGAGCAAAACTCCATCTCAAAAAAAAAAAAAGCTGTCTGGGGGGTGAGGGTAGAGGAAGAGAAAGACAAAATCACGATAAATGTAGAATAAAATAGTGATCAAGAACACAGACCTCTGACCTAGATATCTGCCCTCTTCCCCTAACTAGCAGTGCCACCTTAGTTAAGTTACTGATCCTCTCTCTTTTTCCACCTGTAAAATGAGAGTAACAAAAATATCCAGTACCTAGTATCTTCTCAAAGTAACTATAAGGAATGAATTAAGTAATAAAATGCATTTAATACAGTACTGGGCACAGAATAAGAAGCTCTAAGGTGTGTTGTTGTTAGTGATCAATCTTCAAATAGTAAAAAGCCTGAAGACATATGTGAGGAGAAGGCAGTGAATCACTGCTATAGTGAAGCACGGCTGATGCCAATGAACTACATCTCAGCATGGGGTGAAAAGTCTCCAAGACACAGAAGTGGCTGGAAGAAAAACTGCTGGTTATATTGTCTAATTCTGATTAATAAAAAATTGCCATTCTCATTAGGAGTATTTGCTTCCTATGACACCTTTGATCAGTCTCTCAGTAATGTATGCATAGAAGATAGCACAGGATATTAGGAAGTGTACGAACTAGTAATGAGAAATAAGAATCTGGGATGAGCTGTATGAAGAAGAGAAGAAACAGCATATTAGCTATTATTCCCAAACTTCCAAGTTTACTTTAGAAATATAAACTTACTTCCTCCTAAAATACTTAAGACTTAACTTGCCTTTCAAAAAGTAATTAAATTACTAAGTTAAAAATTTAGAAGTCTTTCAACCTGGGCTTACAACCTGGGCTTAAAAATCTCTGGTATTTGGAGCCAAATGGCAACCTGATCATTTTTAATTTAGAGTTCTCCATCTTCTTGCATCACTAGTGATGATAGCTGAGCCAGTTTTTATAGAGAAAGGCTGTGTAGGGTAGTGGTGTGCAATGTGGGCTGTAGAGCCTGATCACCCAGATTCTGTAACAGCTTGTTGGCTGTGGAGTCTGACTGACTATATAAAGAAACGAATGCTAAGAAAGCTCATCTATGATTATAACAGCACCTATTAACTCACAGGATTAAGAGCAATGAATATAAATTTACAATTATGCTGAAGGCTTGACACAAACCTAAGCACTATTAAACAGTAAAGCTAAACAATGCTGAGTGAGCGATTTAAAAATTATAAATTTTTCCTATAAGGAAGCGGAAACAAATTTTGGCGGGACTCATTCTGGAAAAAAATATTTTACAAAATTATCCCATTTTCCAATATGGTAACTGGTTTGCTGAGCTCCAAAACTGCGTGCTTTCTCTTTAAAAAAAAAAAAAAAAAAATTGGCCAGGCGCAGTGGCTCATGCCTGTAATCCCAGCACTTTGGGAGGCTGAGGTTGGGAGGATCACGAGGTGAGGAGTTCGAGACCAGCCTGGCCAACATGGTGAAACCCCATCTCTACTAAAAATACAAAAATTAGCTGGGCATGGTGGCATGTGCCTGTAGTCCCATCTGCTCAGGAAGCTGAGGCAGAAGAATCACTTGAACCCAGGAGGCAGAGGTTGCAGTGAGCCAAGATTGTACCACTGTACTCCAGCCTAGGTGACAGAGCAAGACTCCATCTCACACAGAAAAATAAACATTTTTTAAATTCAGAGTAGTATCTTAAAATAATATGACATCCCCCTTAGTACTGGTGTTTTCCAAATTATAAAAATACATGTTTATTATAACAAGTGACACAAAACAAGATTAAGAAGTATAATACAGGCAAAGCTAATTCTCTCTTCCCAAATCTACTTCTAAATCCCATCCCCTAAAATAATCAAGATTATCATACAAATGTTTTTATAAATTCATTTTTTTTCCAAAATTACCACAGATATGATACTCAAAAGCTTACCTCTAGATATATTGATGGTGGATTATGCTCCCCACCAAATTTGTCCAATAGGGCCTCTATATGTTCCTGTGTCAACTTAATCATTTGTTTGATATTCCACACCTAAAAAATATTTTAAAAGAATTTAAATAAAAATCACTTAGAATATGAATTAGAAATATTTTAATGTAGACAACTACATTATAGTAACTGCCAGTGTTCCTCAAATTTTGAGCTTAGAGATCATTTAGTAAGTGGTTTTTCTCTTTTATTATTATACATCTTTAATTTTTTTTCTACACTAGTAATACAACTTATTCTCAACTATAAAAGATTCAAATAATACATGAATATTCAGAATAAACCATGAAAATCTCTCTTAATCTTCCTCAAATTCCCAGGCCCCCTTTCGAAAAAGTTAAGTTCTGTTTATGGTTTGGTGAGCAGTCTTCCATGTCTCCCTTTCATTCATGGAAAAAACATACATATATATATGAAATATACAAATATAAATAAATACTATATATAAAATACTTTCAACACTTGCTTTTTTCACATAATAATAATGCCTCAGAAGTCTCTCCACATCAATATGTATATATTTTACTCCCTAATGGTTATATAGCATGCACTGCTATTTCAACAGTCTCCAGATTTTAGTGGTATCCAGGAAACAACTGAGTCCAACTTGTCTGGTTTGATAGTGAGAACTGGCTACACAAATTAGGTTATATAGCAGATTCTACTTCTAAGTTGAATGATCTAGATCTGCAGTTTTAAGGTTTGTGCAAAAAATGTATTTAACATAAATATAATACACAGTAGAAATTATGGTCTTTAAAACTATTTAAATTTATAATGAAAAAATGTCAGATATCAACTTTTAAAAGTACAGGGAAATAAATGAAAAAAAGAAAAGAAAAGAAAAGAAAGAGTTCCAAGTCTCTTGGTTTATTTAATAATTCCCTTTCCAAAGAACATTTAGATTATCCCATTTCTTCAACATCAAACAATACTTCAACAAAATAGTTCTGAACTGCCTTTCAGGGTAAAGGTGCAAGTTTTATTTTTTGATATCTAGGTATACAATTCCAGGACTGAAGGATATATGTAACTTAAAATTTAATAAATATGCCAAATGGTCTTCCGAAAGAAGACATGTATCAAGTCAAGTCCCTATTTGCAGGGTGTAAGTCACTCTTTTCCCCTCAATCTCACCAATACCCAGCATAATCACACTTCTAAACTTTTGCCAATTTGAAAGGGAAAAGGTAATAATCATGTTTTAATTTGTATTTCCTACAAAGTTAAGCATTTTTAATGCTTACTGGCCATTTGAGATTTTGGAAAATTCCCTATACTGTACTCCCTTTTATTCTATTGAGTTGTTTCTTTCCTACTCATTTATAGATACTCTTTATTCTGGATATTAATTTTATTCTTCTACAAATGTTAAGTTCTTTCAATTGTTTTTCATGTCTCTTGTGATATAAAATCTTGCTACTCAAAGTGTGGTCCAGAGACCAGCAGCATCAGCATCTTCTGAAAGATTGTGAGAACAGCAGAAGCTGGCCTGGCATAGTGGCTCCCATCTGTAATCCCAGCACTTTGGGAGGCCAAGGCAAGTGGATTGCTTAAGCCCAGGAGTTCACCACCAGCCTGGGCAACATGGTAGAAGCCCATCTCTATAAAAAATACAAAAATTAGTCGGGCATGGTGGTGCATGCCTGTAGTCCCAGCTACTCAGATGGCTGATGGAGGAGGATCACCTGAGCCTAGGAGGCTGAGGCTGCAGTGAACCATGACTGCCCCACCGTGCTCTACAGCCTGGGCAACAGAGTGAGACTCAGCTTCTACCGCCACCCCACAACCAGCCCAAACAAACAAACAAATAAACAAAAAAAACCCCAGCAGAAACTCAAGCTCCATCTCAGATCTACTGAACAAAATGATTGATACGCATATTAAAGTCTTGAGAAGCAATGACAGAGGTTCCAAATTGTTTTTCCAGTCAGATATTTAAATGTTTTCTTTTGTGATGCCTTTGCTAATTTCTCACATCTCCACAAAGTGTTGGATGGCTTCTTTTATCTAGCTACTCTTACTCCCTAGGTGATCTCATCCAATCTTTATATGCCTACTGATGAAGCCCAAAATTTAAAATCCAGCTCTACCTTTTCCTCTCAATACCAGATCCCCAACTGCCTGTTGAGTATGTCTACTAGTATACCTAATAGGCATTTCAAACTTAACATGTTCAAAGACTAACTTCTGATCTCTCCCAGCACCCCACAAAACTTGTTTTTCCTATAATCTCTTTACCTCGGAAAATGACAAGCTCCACTCATTGAGTAAACCAAAAACTTCAGCATCATCCTTGACTCTCTTCTCACATCTGACAATCCATCTCAATCCATCTCCAAATCAAAATATATGTAAATATAGTCACCACCTCTACCATTACCACCCTGGTCTAAGCCACTTTCATTTCTTAGTTTATTACTACAGTTTCTGAAATTGTCTCTCCTGTTTCATACCTAGAAAGGCACAGTAGCTATTCTTCAAAAACTGTAACTGCAGGCTGTGCGTGGCTCATGCCTGTAATCCCAGCACTTAGGAAGGCTGAGGCGGGAGGATAACAACATAGTAGGATCCTGTCTCTACAAAAAAAAAAAAAAAAAAAAAAAAATTAGCCAGACATGGTGGAGTGTGCCTGTGGTCCCAGAGGGTGAGGTAGGAGGATCGCTTGAGCCTGGGAAGTTGAGGCTGCAATGAGCCGTGATCATGCCATCCCAGCCTAGGTAACAGAGTGAGACCCCCATCTCAAAAACAAAACTATAACTGCAGATTACATGTCATTCCCTTGCTCAAAACCCTCCACTGGCTTCCTCACTAAAAATCACCAAAGCCATGACCTGGCCCTCTGCCATTTGTCTGTCTTCATTTCTTACTGTTCTTCTCATCACCCATCCCTCTCCAATCACACTTGGCCTCATTGAACATGTCAAGTATACTTCCAATGCAGGCAGGACTTGTGAATTTACAATTTCTTCTGCCTGGAATGCTCTTCCCCTAAGATTTCTACAAGGTTTACTATCTCACCAAGTTCATTCATCTCTTTATCCCAGTGTCACCTATCAGTGAAGGATTCTCTTACCAGCTCATTTAGAAAGGCAACTATCACCAGGCAGGTCACGCCTGTAATCCCAGCACTTTGGGAGGCCGAGGTGGGTGGATCACCTGAGATTGGGGGTTCGAGACCAGCCTGAACAACATGGAGAAATCCCGTCTCTACTAAAGATACAAAATTAGCCTGGTGTGGTGGTGCATGCCTGTAATCCCAGCTACTCGGGAGGCTGAGGCAGGAGAATCACTTGAACCTGAGAGGTGGAGGCTGCAGTAAGCTGAGATTGCACCATTGCACTCCAGCCCAGGCAACAGGAGCAAACTCTGTCTCAAAAAAAAAAAAAAAAAAAGAAAAAAAAAAGAAAGGCAACTATCCCTCCCATTCCTTAGAAGAACAGAATCAGTTTCTATACCCTTTGTTAATTTTATTTGTTCTATAGCATATGTGACCACCTTATTATACATATTTTACTTTATTTTGTTATTGATGTGCATCTTCCCCACTCCTCAACAGAATAAAGTCCAGGAGGGCATGGGTTTTTGTCTTACTTTTTTTCTGATTTTTCCCAGGGCCTAGAACAGTGCCTAGCATATAATAAGCACCCAAACATTATTTGCTTAAAAAAAATGAATATTTTATTTATTTTTGAAACAAGGTCTCTGTCTCCCAGGCTGGAGTGCAGTGGCACAATCTTGGTTCACTGCAGCCTCAGCTTCCTTGGCATCAATCCTCCCACCTCAGACTCCCAGGTAGTTGAGACTACAGGTGCGCATGACACCTGGCTAATTTTTGTATTTTTAGTAGAGATGGGGTTTTGCCACATTGCCCAGGCTGGATCTTTCCTTAGAGCATCCCTCTATTATGTGTTCACTGACCAACTGGGCAAAACTGTTTTCTAAGCCATAATTTGATAACATAAAGTTGATTATGTTTTCCATGTCTATTAGCTACTTTAAGATCAGAAACATTTTATTCTTTTTTTGTCCCCTCATGACTTATTTTGGTGTCTTAGTCATAATAGGTACTCAAATCTAAAGATTCATGCTGTTTTCAGAATACAGTAATAGAGAGAAAACAAGTCATTCTAGTTCAGTGATTCTTTCTTAGGTCCAGTAAATTCAGGACAACATTACCCACACTCCCCTTTTTTAAATGTTCCATAAAAACTCATACACAGTTAGCATAAAGATCTATTTTTCCCAAGGGATGGGAGAGAGAAAGTGGGAGAAAATAACACAAAGGGTAAATAAAGTCAATGAGCTGATTAGAATAAAATTTTCTTGCTGGGGTATAGAAAATGTTAAGATTGGGCCGGGCGTGGTGGCTCAAGCCTGTAATTCTAGCACTTTGGGAAGCCAAGGTGGGGTGAATCACTAGCGGTCAGGAGTTTGACACTAGTCTGGCCAACGTGGTGAAGCTAAAAATACAAAAAATTAGCCAGGCATGGTGTCAGATGCCTGTAACCCCAGCTGAGGCAGTAGAACTGCTTGAACCCAGGAGCAGAGGTTGCAGTGAGCCAAGACTGTGCCACTGCACTCCAGCCTGTGTGACAAGACAAGACTCTGTCTCAAAAAAACAAAAACAAAAAACAGTAACAAAAAAGATAAAATTGCTTAGGTATAGTGGGGCCAGACCATGAGCGTCTGGGAGTCAGGTTTCTTATGTCCCCAAAGAACAATTTTATATTCAAAGAATAAACAAAAGTCACAATGACCCTTGTTGGAATTTTAAAGAATGAGTTTGGGAGAGAAAAGTCTTTCAGAATCTCCAGAATAGCTAGAGAAAGAACTTTGATGACTCTTATAAAATAGAGATATACTAAAAAGTAGAATAAGATACTGTAAAGCTAACAGTAGGTACACAGTTAAAACATCTTCTTGGAGAAAAAAAGAAAAACCTGTTATCACAATCCTAAAAGGGAGATGAACAAATTAAAAACAAAACTCAGGCCAAGTGTAGTGGCTCACACCTGTAATCCCAGCACTTTGAGAGGCCG